CAAGATTGCCCTTGACTGCATGGGAAACAGCTAGTAGTATCGTCTAAAACTCTTGTTTGATCGCAATGTTCCAACTCTCAAAATCCTATCGAATTAAATAAAGAAGCAAATGAGGAAGTAGCTTACTCTCCTAGTGAAAACACCAATTCAGTCGATAAAATAACCTCTCCGCGATCTCTGGTCCCCTGCACACCTGTCTTGGAGACATCCGATGTCATAGACGATGATAACGATGAAGAACTTCCAACGTTTGACCTCTTCTCCTCTTTAGGCATTGAAACTGTGTAGTGGGCACTAATTGCGGCGACCAAAGAGAATAGGACGAGTACATACTGAGGAAATGAAATTATGCTTGGTTATTGCCGTAAGTTTTAAGGAAGCTCTAGGAAGGATCGCACAAGCATTAGACATTAAAACATGAGGCGATGACACAGTTCAGTGTCACTTCTCTCGACGATTCTAAGGCCGGATTTCACACGGCCTAGACACTTGTCGTCTATAGCTATTCTTGTGAGGGCTGAAACCCTTTAGTGCATAACTCGATATTTCCTTAACCGATGTGTTACATGCAAAGTTACATTATGCGTTAATGCGTGACATTTCTGAGAGTGAATAATTCGTTTACCGATGCTTAAAAAAGAATATATATATTCAATAATTATTTTTCCTTGGTTCTTTAATTTTGTTATTGACGAGGGTTGTGGCTTAAAGCGAAATTCAAGCTCAGGTTTTGGGATGTCCTTCTTAAAAGGACGAAGAAGACTAGCCGCTGAAAATGAATGCTGATTTTTTTAGCAAAAGCATGTTCTGTACAAGATGCGTACTATCAAATGCAATCTGTTTCCTTTCTGGAGTCATTGTGCACTTTGGTGCACAATTGACTAGCATCAGTGTAGCAAATACCTGGTCGCTATCTCGAAAATATGTCCATAAAAATGCTCTCCAGTTTCCAAATAGCGAAATAGTTTTGTCACAGATACCCCGTCATGCAACGTTTTAAATATTTGTGAGCTGAACAATAAAGAATTAGCGTTTTCTCCGTTACGTGACTCTCTCTATTGGTGACATCTGTTTTTTGAGCTTGTATTTGCATAATCTAAGATGGAGTTACCGGAGTTCATTACGTTTGGAAATGTTTTCCTGGCTATAGTTTTCATCCTGATTCTTAACCAAATGATTGAACTCTATCAGTTAAGGAACATGCCGCCGGGACCTCGTTTGACATCTTTGCCTTTTATCGGTAATATGTTAAGCTTTGATTCTGGAGAAAGTTTTGGCGAAGTCACAAGGAGGTTTGTTCACTCTGCTATTCATAATGTTTCTAGTTTTGAACACGGCTAAGTCGACCGCGCAGTCTTCCTTTTCGTGCTATTATCTGTATACAGCATTTGAATTTATCAAGTGGTAGCGAATGCTCATCTATTTAGTAGTTTTACGCAAGCTGCTAGCGCCGGGAAAGTAGACAAATAATATTGCAATGTTGGAGCCTCCATCATGATATTTTGAGTTGCGTGACGCTAAGAAAGTAGTAATGTTGATGAGGTTGAACGCCAGGGCTACCCAAGAAGAGCATTTTATCTATGAATGATAAATGAACGATAAAGAGGATACTGCAAAGATAAGAATGGTTAAAATTTTCATAACGTTAGCAAAAGTGGTGGCTGTTTGATTACCTTGTTTTTTTTTTTTTAAGAAGACTTTAAGTTTCACAATTTTCTCACGAAATATGATTAAAATTACTAGGCGAGTGATAAGTTCACAATTAGCCACCATTTTTGGATTAGTAATGGTGTAAAAAGGAGTTTAAAAACATATGACTTGTCCGGTGGTTATAGATCCCCCTTCAAATAACAATATTGTACTCAGAGGTTACTTCGCCCCTATCAACTATCACGGTAAAAAAAAAATTATTCTCGCGCTCAAAGCCCAATTGTTAAATAGAACAATTAAAAGGGAAAAAACAAATGAAAGCAACGAAAAATAATCAAACTATAACAAAATAAAACTTTATATTTTTTTATAGTATCTACGCGATTTGCCTTACGGTTGACTGTTAGCTTCTGAGGGAACAGGTTAATGCAAACTAATGAGGTACTTTGCTTTCTCTTCTCTATTACAAAGCTTGAGGAAGAAATATGGAAAGTTGTACTCATTGAAAATGGGAAGTTTTAAGACCATATTTGCTGAAGACGCCGCTTCAGTTAAGGAAGTGCTCGTGAATAAATCTGCCGATTATGCCGGGAGACCTCCATTTCATAGCTTTCAGATGACTACTCTTGGTATGTGCTGAAAACATTTTTTATCTACGAAATAGTTTCTCTTATGGCGGTTCTTAAGCCTAGCTCCGCGGAATATAGTTACATTTCAGAGAACTACAAAATATCAAATAAATGGTTTGGAAGAACTTTCCGCCAATATCTGCAAGGAAATTTTCAACTTTGAACCGAAAATTCGCATTGGCTTTTCACCCACATGGCCGTCATGCTTACTAAAAATTTGACGCATTATCGAATTTTTCCGTAAAAAAGTTTGCACCAGCTCAAAGCATGGTTAGTTATCTAATTGCTTATAATCTAGTAAGGTTTGACTCTAATCGGTGTCGCGATTACACGCGTAATTAGTTATTTTCTTTGACTTTTTATTTTTTTCCATGCACTTTTTCTTTTTAATGTGAGATGCAGAGGTTTGCCTTCAGCCGAAATTGCTATTTTTAATACTTGATCAAGGATAAATGCCAACTTGCTTTGTAGGTGGGAAGGATATTGCACTCGGAAATTACGGTCCTGCCTGGAAGTTTCATCGCAAGCTCTTCATGACAGCCGTGCGAAGGTACATCTCGGATCAGCAGTTGATTGAGCGCAGAATGTCTGAGCAAGCAACGAAGTTGCTACGATACTTTGAAGATCAAGAAGGATCTGCTTTTGACCCCTCACAAATTGTGACGGAGAGCGTTGCAAATGTGATTTGTCGAATAGCATTTGGAGAGCACTTTGATTCGTCTCATACGGATTTTCAGGAACTGCTGCAATTAAATATCAGTGTCTTCACTGACGATGAAATGAATGTTCAGGTCTTTGCATTAGATCAATTCCCTGTAGCCAAATTCTTTCCATTCAAAGCCTACCGAAAAATGCAGAAGATTTTCGATCGAATCTTTGAAATTCTGCGTAGTCAGCTCAGGGAGCAGGAAACAGCATTCGATCCAAAAGCAGCGGTTGAGAGCCTCACTGGTAGTCTCTTAAAGGAGAGGATTGCTGCCGAGAATGAGGTAGGTGCCGAAGAGAAAGCATCCCTCTTGTCAGATGACTACATAATTAACGCTTTGGAGGATATGTTCAGCGCTGGTTACGAGACCACGAGCACAACCCTTCGTTGGGCCATTGCATACCTTGTCCACCATCCTGAGTGCCAAAGGGAGATACAACGTCAGCTCGATGAGGTGGTTGGAAAGGACCGGATGCCAGGCCTGGATGATCGTCCAAATCTTCCACAGGTACAGGCCACTATCATGGAATCACTGCGACTCGGGAATGTCGTCGAAGCTGCACTTCCTCACTACACTTTGAAGGACACCACACTTGCTGGTTACCGTGTTCCAAAGGATACTGTAGTTGTTGCCAACTTAATGGCTGTTCACATGGATCCAAGCTGTTGGGAGAATCCAGCTGCATTCAACCCTCGCCGCCATATTGATGCTGATGGCCAACTTATTACCAACTCTGGAAACTTTTTGCCCTTTTCCGCTGGACGCCGAGTCTGTGCTGGCGAGGCACTTGCCAAGGTATCATTCATCATTTGCTCTGAATCAGGCATTTTCTTCTAAATCTGACGGGCTGAAGTGTTAAGAGGTGTTACCATTTGACTGATACAATAATAATAATAGTGATAGCAATTATTTTTTACAATGAATTTTTTTTTTTTTAATTTGAAAATATGTAAGTGATTTACAGAAAAAATTTGAAGTAAGAATTAAGCTCTATAATAAATTAAGAATCATGTAAATCATAAAAAAATACAATCATGTGTTGCTCAGATGCGATCAGTAACTCTTGCAAGGAGTCCGGTGTTTTGATTTAAATCATGACAAAAGAAAATTATTCGTCTCTGGTATGAAAAGAAACAAGTTTAAAAAAAAATCTCGAATTCCTAAAATCAAAGATT